AAGTGATGAAAAGTGGGGATCATTATGTATACTATAATAAATCGATATTTATATAATTATCCCCACTTTTCACCACTTCGACCGACAAGAATTATGTTTCATATCATATCATTCATATCATATTTATGTTATCACATATCATGCAAAACATGTCAGCAAAAAGTAATTTATATTACAAACACGTACATTACAATGCTTAACATAAAGAAAGGCATAGATACTTTTTGTCTGAAGTCATATCTCCTACAAATTCTCAAATGGAATATTGTTATGCAGATCGATGAATATGTTGCTGATTTGGTAAAGAATTTCAAATTGTGTTAGGTAGGTAATACATATATAATTGTTAAAACTACTAACTGTATAATATAACAATAATGGGTTTAAGATACCCCATGATTCTGTAGCTTAAAAGGGATATTTGAATCAGAATCCCGATTGATAGCTTTCAAGGCAGCGTACGTAAAAGAACTGCGTATCTTAAATACTACAGTAGGATTAAGTGTATCTGGAGGTAGGCATATAAATATTCATCCTGTATTAACGTAATAAGTCTTAGTAAAACCAAAATAAAATAATGTCATTATTATCTGTATTTTATTATTATTAATTCTGATGCAAGATGATTACGATCAAAGAAGCATTATATAAAATTTATGTAAAATATGTAAATATGGTAGGATGAATCTAGGAGATTCATCCTACCATATTTATGTCCTACCATACCAGTTGGCAGAAATTGTTTTCGAGTTGTAATATTTTGTTTTGTGAGAATCATGGGATAATCTATGTGCGGCAGGCAGTGAATGGCTGTATAGATAAAAGGTAATAATGATGATATTTTTGTAGGTATTTTTATTTGACTTGATAAAGATAATAAAGAAGAATAAATCTGATAAGGATTAGACGAAGAAGAATTATATATTCTTACAATCTTTTGCTTCTACAAAATTTGGCCAACCTAATTTTTTTGAACCAGTACGAGTGATGTGTTTGTCTTATGTCACATGATAATATGATGTCCGTAGTGCTGTTTATGTACGTATATAGATGACAGTTACAGTGTACCATGAAAATATTACTTGCTACCGTAATCGTTTATTTATACTATTAAAAAAGGTACAGAATTTACTATTTGAACACGAAACAAACTGTTATCTTTGTCTGGTATTTACGATATAAAGACTTCTATTTCGGTATACATTCAGACATCCACACGTACCATAATCTGTTGATACAATAGGTGAGGACACAATACAGCTACTCAAGCCACCAGACTATTTAATCTAACTATAATAACCTCACAAAAAGGTTCTTCACTTGCTAATTGATTCTCCTTTATAGAAAAAAAATGTCCACCCACGTAAAACACACCCACACTAAACCCGTCTACGTTTTAAATTTGAAGCTCTTTAACAATGCTATATAATCTCATTTAACTAAGATTTATAGAGAATTTCACAGAATAAGTCAATTGATTATAATAATTTTTCCATTTAATAAATAATGGACTTGAAAAAATTATCACATTATGTAATATTATAAATTGTAAATGCGTAATGAAATAATTTTCCATTCCATCATTCGTAGCAAAAAGTGTTTTAGCTGTAATAAAAGATCAAAATGTAAGCAGAATAATATTTTCTTTTAATGTGGAAATCTAACTATTGTTTACAGTATAAACACGTTTGTATCTCTTACGTCTTTGTCAGATCAAACCACGCCCCCAAAATACATCAGCAATACTCTTAATCCGTTTTCTTTGTTCCATAATATCCATTAAAATATTTGAATAGACTTAGCAACTTTAATAAGGAACATCTTTTGTCATCTATGAAAATATGGGCATGTGAATCGTCAAAAGATAATTTATTCTTTTCAAATTATCTTAGAAAATACTAAATAAAAATATAATAATGGTCGATAATCACTTCGTCCATAAGAAACAATGAAGAACATAATTTCAGTGACTTAGTGACTGAACATATACATAATGGGACAATTTGATACACTTGGACTACTTCAAGGGACGACCATATCTATCTGTCAAATGATACGTACAGTAATACTATGCCGCATATATAACCTCATTCATATTTATTATTTCATTATATGAAATAATAAATACCTACAAAAGTACTGTTATCATAGAGAATAAAAGCAGTACAATGGAACCATTTCATTAAATGGTCGACCATTTACAAGAAATGATAATTTCTACAATTTTGCCGTAATATAATAATTGTTTTAAAGCGCCTGTACACCTCTAAGTTTTACTGAGTACTTAAGTACAGTAGGTTACATTACATAATTATATTATGACATATTTACAAATATGATATGAAATGGTAAGTACCTAACTTTTTACATAAATGAATAATACCTAGATGTTCTGTTTCGATATTCATTTAGTTGTTATCTATGTAGATAAAAACTAAATGAATATCGAAGCAGCAGCATCTCTATGTAGAGATACACTAAAGAGTGATGGTTAAAATAGTACTCCTACTAATCATTATTAAGGACAGATGTGACAATCTGATGCCATGTCTACAATATTAATGTTCTTAAAATATATTTAGAAGACTCTCCATATTGAAAATTCGTATTTTATTCAATATTTATAACAACACTACTAACATGTCTAATTAGTATAACTATTTCACAAAAAGATATGAACATATTATAGCTGAACATTATATATTCTCTTACGTATGCACCTACTAGACTAAACGATCGAAACATGATCGAAACCATACCTGTATTCCATTCATACGAACTCTGCATACTTTAACATATCCACGTCATCTCTGACGTTTACTCGGAGAAGTACAGTAAAAAGGATTTTATTATTAAATCGATGAGTGATTAGTTATGTTAGTAGGTGTACTTGTATCATATATGCATAACCATATAATACTTGTATCAATATTATGCCAAAAATCAACCAACAATTATACATTATATTTTATAATTTTATTTATTGTTAAAGCAAAGTTTTCTATTCTATTCCATTAAATACCAATATATCTATATTTATTGTTCTGGCTTCACGATCAAACTTTAATCAAATCTAAAGATCTTGTTTATTACAAAGACAATTAAAAGAACCCCTAATAAGAAGTTTTGAATTAATATTTACCAAATAAAATGTTGATTCATCGTCAACAGTAATAACTTTTGTGTTTAGAAACGAATACAATACCTTTAAGAAATTTGGCATAGACTTAGGTTATCAGTTATAATTATTTAGATCTCTGCTTGTTCTCACAGAATTAATATAAATTGAAAATTATTAATTGTTTTAATTATATCTACCCGTTGAACTGGGCATTGTAATTAAATATTGCGTAACCACGATATTACAATAAATTTAAAAATTAATATTAACACTATGCTCTACTACTACCTACTATTGTATTATTTGAATATGTACCTACACAGTAGCAGGTACGATTTCCTCGTAGATATTTCTTTCTGCCAATATATGCCAATATCTTCTTAAATTATTTGCTGTCTGCCATATCACATTGTAACAACTAATGATTATTGGCAAAGAGCTAATACTACTAAGCTACTAAGCGAATTGAATAAAGCACTTACTTGTCTAGACGACATTTTATATTTAAACACATATATTTGAACTGTTATTTGGTTGCAGCACGTCTGAGTATAGTTTCTGAACTTTTCGCTTCCTATAAATATACCTATCCAGTTTTATATTTCATCATAGAACAGTATTGCCATATAAGTTTGTATTTGAGTTTACAACCAGGTCAAGTATTAAATTTTACAATCAAAACAAATATATAAAGTATCAGGTTCGAAATCAATTATATACTTTACGTAATTTGGGAAATCGTACAATAAAACTTTTATAAAGTTAAATTTGAACATCAACGAAATGGTAATTATTTTCTTGATATTATTAATTTTGCCTACATTGTAAACTAAATAAACCTATTGAAATAACAGAAATACAAAATTGAAAGTGATGTTTAATTATAATTTCAAAAATAGTTGAACTAATTTTGTGTTTCAGTTTAACCAAGGTTGGATTTTGGTTTTCATTAATGTCCAAGGCAGTTGAGATTATAATAATTATTAATTCTAATAATCATTGTTTTTGGGTTTAATTACATTGATAAAGTCCCTCAATAAAGAAATGTTTGCTGGAGAATATTACTATCTTTATGTTCTTATAATAATGATATAAAGAAATATTTAAATTGATTGTGCACTAAATTTAATAGCGACTTTACGGAATGTTCGAGATGAAGTGATAAAATGTATAAAAAGTAAAACCAATATCGATGTTCCATGGGTGACGTTCCAAATTTGAATTTTACTTTTAAATAATTCATTGGCTATTTGCAATCGCATTTATTATGTTTATATATTATTGACAATTAAAAAAAATAGATTTTGAATTTCAATGGATTGCACCTAGAATAATAAAGTATGCCTAACATTTTACACAATAGAAACAAATACCGCTCTTTGAAGCTGTTCAATTCATCAGTCAACTAGTACAATTGTTTATTTATAACAGAAAACGATTGAAAACTTTGAATAATTTAGGCTTTATAAATAACTTAACAGCCTCCGTGATCTAGCGGTGTACGGTACACCGTCTTATTTCCGATAGCTGTAGATTCGAATCCTCGTACGGCATTTATTTTCATATGTATGATTGTTTGTGTATTTACAAAAACAACATGTATTTAAGTATCTGTATCAGTTGTCTAGTATCCAAAACTAAAGCTCTGCTTAGCTTATGTGAATTGTCAACGGTTGTAATTTCTATTGTAATGCACACCACGAGTGTCATTCGAAGTTATGATATCCGTGATTCTATAGATATAACTATTTATTCAACGGTTGTGACATAGAAGTTTAGTGTATAAAAATAGTAACAAGAAACTGTAGCGGACTCACGGGCCATTAGGTTTACTCGTTTGCTACTACAATCTAAAAAAACTTATTTGTTACAGGAAAAAAGTTGCACAATATATCAAAGGTGGACGTCATTCCAATCAGAAGACATTCACCCGCTCACCCGCAAATTGTAAAAGTTATGCGTCTAGTCGCTTCGTCTTTCTGGAGGGAAAAATGGCGTCGGATGACAGCTCAAATATAACTCACGCTTTGACTAATCTGTTTGAGGAAATGCTACTGGCCACAGAAGTGGAAAGCGATAACCGAACTAATATTGATCTGACGCAATTCCTCTCAGCTTTGAAAGAGCAATCGACCAAAAACAACAGCTACGAGCCTTTGGATTTTGGTACACTTGTGAAACTCGTGGATGGCTGGAGAAGCAAATTAAACTTGACCAAGTCTACTGAAGTGACGTGCAATTACTGCGAGGGTAATTTTCGAGACGTTATCTTAGCTTACAACAGTATCCACGGTTATATTAGCCTTATTGTAAGTACTAATATTCATCTTATATTATAGATAGAGGCATTTTGTTATTTACTTTACCACATGTCGTTTTTATCTATTGTTACTGTGCGTTGACATTCAGATACTTCTAGTATGAGTACCAGACAACTGAAATGAATAAATACGTACATTTTTTTGTAAATACATAAATAATATACATGGAATGCACCCAAACCTGTACCAACAAACTCAGCAATCGAATCCGCGACCATGGAAAATAAGGCGTTGTGCTTAACAGTTAGACCACTAGATCGTCAAATAATTGGATTGTTTGTTCGAAATCTATATTATTAAAAATGATAGAATGGAAATTGGTTACATAGATTAATCATAATATCTTGGATAATGACATATACAGTTTTTTTTATTTCTAATCCAACAGTACACATACTGCATAAAAACGAAACGTATAAACTAATAGTATAGGTGAAAATAGGTTTCTCAAAATCAATAAAATAATATAAAGTAGTGACGGAATTCGCATAGATAGATACCAGGCACACCTACATTCCGATATTTTAGGAATGACATGATCCTCGAATTATGGATGTTCATAGGTCGCAGTCAGACCAGTCAGGACAAAAAGTAATTAATATATATCCCTGTTACCTGTAGATACATATACATGTCATCAACTGCATCGCAGATTAGTATCTACTAAAGACATTATTTTTATTGTAGGATGTAAGATAAAAGTGCGAACAGCAAGTGATAATAAAATTTAAATTAATATCATATATAACTAAAAAATATACTTAATATACAAGTAGCACGAAATATAGAATACTGTAACACTAATATATATGTGTCTGTTCTATAATAAACAAAATAGTAGATTAAGGTTCCTATTCCTATTCAATAAATAAAGAAATTAATAAATAAAAATTCTTTATTCTACTACATTAATATTGAGTTTACATTCTAATAAGGATTCTAAGAATCCGTAATAGGAATTGAGGAAATAAAAACCATTGCTCCTAAGAATATCTTTCAATTCTTGTCCCTGACGAATGTAGGCAGCGATCTCTCTCTAGATTTACATGTAGGTCACAGTGCTATAGGTCTAAACACATGACAATAGCCCAAATTCCTCAATAAAAAAAAAACAGGAACATTTTATCATATAGTTCACATTGTATCTCATCAGATCGTTCGTCACTCTATCATAATATATAATTGATACCTTAAACAATATTGTGGTAAATTCCAGGTTAATTTGTCACGATTGGCTACATGACCTGATTTCATATCTTATTCATCATTGATGTCCGTAATATAGTTAGGATCACCATTCAACCATCAGTTATTATCAAAATAATAAGAAAAAAACAAAATCCATTCTTATTTGTAAATATATAACATTGCTGTAAACATATTTCTAAAAATATCAAATACGGAATAAACAAACAAGTATAAGTTCAATGAGGCATTAAAAGGCAGAACATGTTTACAAATAAAATTGATATTTTATACAGCTTTTTGATATGGGCATTTATCGGTTTAACAAGATATTTTCATATTGCGAGCAAGTTTGTTTTTGCACCTGGAAATATCAGTTACTGAATCTTCAATATAATATAATCTTGTATATATTGATATTCTATTACAAACATTTTTATTGAAATGTCTCTTCTACCCACGTAATAGTGGCAAAAATTATCTATACTTTAATAATATCATAATAATTTTGTACTACTGTAAATGTAACTATATGATTGATACAAAAGACATCTTTCATCATTTCATCATTCGTCATTTGCTATGTATAGTATTTAAATGATATTGAATACAGAGGAAAATTGAATACAGAATTTTACGAATCAGAAAAATAGTTCTGATCAACTTCCATGTATCAGATAATCGCTTAAGAGTTATTTAATGCACAGTTTTTCACTTTAAATATTATTTATATAGGTAAATACTAATATGAAAGTAAATCCTATAAGTTCCAAACTTAATTATTACAATTAGTTCAGAAATTAGGATGAATAGATACTCTTCAGTATCTGAACTGTACACGGGAAATGTGAACTCAAAAAACATATTATCCTATAAGTGCCAAACTTAATTATTACAATTAGTTCAGAAAAATGTGAACTCAAATACCATAATATCCTATAAGTTCCAAACTTAATTATTACAATTAGTTCAGAAATCAGGATGAATAGATACACTTCAGTATCTGAACTTCTGTACACGGGAAATGTGAACTCAAATACCATAATATCCTATAAGTTCCAAACTTAATTATTACAATTAGTTCAGCAATTAGGATGAATAGATTCAATTTCTGTACATGCGAAATGTGAACTCAAAAAAAATCACCGCTTTTTTTAAGTTAATTCAAAATGTTATCGCATTGTCAGTAGCATACAAAAAAATTAAGCTTGTTATGTTATTATTATGAATTTTAACAAGTTTTTGACGGCTTTATAAAGCTGGTAAAGTTATTATCATCTCTCATGTCGTATTGAGTATTATGTACGAAAACAGGCATGGAAAGTACAACTTTCTTGAGTGCTTTAATTTGTTCCGTCTTCAACTCGAAAGGAGATAACTTATTCCTTACAAGTAATATTACTAAGGCAAATATTACATTATCAGATAGATGAATTCTTTATTTACGACCTACTATAATGCTGCCGCCTGATTTTAAATCTTTAGGGAGATTACCCAGTTTCAAATATAATGATAGATCTATTTTTGTTTTTATCCCATATTTCTGATAATAAAAAGTAGAAATAATTAATGTAAAGATGTATATTCTACAACCTAATATTCCCCCCTAAGTAAAATAAAGGAATAATAAATAAATAGTACTTCAGAAATAATAGATAATTTTATCTTTGTGACATATTTATGTACTTATGTTTAACTTTACACCTAAATGAATAACTGATGTGGACTCTAGTATCCTTGTTTACCGATTGTTGATTCTTGTTCACAAATATTGGTTACATTTTTTTGTTATTATTCAATATATTATATCTCAAAAAGTAAATACTTCGGCACGCCTACGAAGAACTTATATTCTTAGAATTTAAAGGTTGTCTGTAAGAGATTGCGTTCCAATAATGCGAACTTTATTATTTCTAATATCTATATTTTGATACAATGTATTGTACTTATTTGTAAATAAAATATTAAGTATAAATCCATAGTTTTCAATACAAAAAACTCGATCTTTATCTTGGTCACTTGACAATCATGTTATACAACTTTTTCGTAAGAATTTCAGAATTATCTTATATTTTATTAAATATCATCTGTAATACGATATAACAATGCTTTTTTTGAAACAAAGTGCGAAACTGTAACTACCATATAGTAATTTTTGTAGCTGTGACGTGGTCAATACTAAAATGTCCAGATGTATGTTTAACTGGCACAAAACAAAACAAAAGTTTTGAAACAAAGAAGCCCACGTGACAATACTGATGTATGTTTAACTACGGGAGCAAGATAAGAAATATCTATCGTTACAAAGTCCAGTAAAAATACTGCGTGGCGTAAAAAGCAACTTCCAATTGTTGTATTAGTTTTGGTCGTAATCAACTTTTGTTACCTAATATTAGCGATAACATGATAATATAGCAGCAATTGGTTTTACCAAAGTGGACTTTGTCGACTGTGTAGGTACCTCTGTCTCATCTCATTCAGCTTCCAAGCCGGCTTGCTTAGTATTTCGATTGGAGAAAGAAAAGTCGATGAAATTCAATGTAATTTCATCGAGTTTTCTTAACAACTGGCACGCTCTGCGCTCGTCGACTGAATGCCGCGGCTCACGCAACGAAAGAGGATTATTCAACTACCGACCTCCGTATTTATAGACCAAAGTCAGTGTAGTAGGTTGGTCTATAAATACTAGATAGCGCTATTTACAATATTCGTAATAATCTTTACATTGGGTACTTCATTAGTACTAAAAACAAACCTTCCTTCTTTTAATATATTTTGAAAATATCGGATTTTTGCTAAAATAATGATGTGAATTCTAACACTAAGGTATAACAACTTAACGAAATGGCAATATATTAGGAATCACAAAGATCAACGTGACAACATAATGTCCAAGGCTATTTTTCGTGAATCAGGTTCAGTTACCTCTTACAATAAGTAGAAATGACAACATTGCTATTTCAGTTAACTGGAAAAAATCGGCCCACACATAATTTTAAATAAAAAAAATTCAGTTGTTAATTATACGACGATATATGGTAAGCTTTGTAAATTATAATAATAACGTATAAAACTAGAATAGCCAAATATCATCTTTACAGTCATAATAGTAAATATATGAAAAGGTACATACATTTTTATAAACATTTGTCAAATACTGTTGAAGTGGATTGATATATAAGCTGCTCTATTTCGGTTCTCTCGCACACCCCTCGATATCGCGAAAAATTAAGGTCAAATATTATAGACACGCCATTACTATATGATATTTTCACTTTAATTATAAATAAGTATTAACTATATTTACAAAAACATTAGGAATTGATTTAAAATAACTCAATAAAAACAATCGTGAATTCAACATAGTTTTTTAATTAATGTTTTCCTATTCTTTGAAGGTTGAAAGCTTTCTTGCTTTCATGAAGTGTTCAGTTAATGGGACGCTATAGATTTTTCCATTTATAAATATTCAAAGAAAAATCATTTTTCCAATTCAAAAAATCATAAATGAAAATTTCATCAAAGTGGATTTGATGAAATTTTCATTTATGATTTTTATACATAACAAAAAGAAAGCTTTTGATATAATCTGTGGTCTTCCAACATATATATGATTCTAGTAACGGATAGCCTGGATGATAGGGGAAAGATGAAATTACTGAAACTGGTGTGAAGTAAATTTGTGGATGTGTCCTACACAAACCTAACGTTTCTAATTGTCGGAACAGTTAATAGAGGGAAATTGAGGAGTTTTGAACAGCTTTGTAAACTCAGAAACTGGTCACTAATTTAATCGAATGTAGATTACTTTCCGTGACCACATGAACTGAGAGCCTATTAGAATTAAAACATTGTACTGTATGTGAGTTTAAATTCAACTAAAAATTATATTTATAATAACTGCAGTAAATATGTTCCAATTATCGGCGATTACTTTATTACTATACATTTTTATTTAAATATTTTATTTCTTATAAACAATATTAATTTTTCGAAATGTAGAAGTTAATTTGCAAACAGTGTTTAGCTATTTTTATGGATAGATTATGTACACAAGATACACATAAAATGAGATAGACGTCAGAAGTCAATAGAAAAACCTATCACAGTGACAGTATAACCTATCCAGATAATGGGTTAATAGTGGCAAGACATTATACAATTTTGAATGCATGTTTTGACGAGTCCAATTTGCACTTATAACGAAAAACGTTACTACTGTTCTATACGTAATACAGATGATATATTTGAGATGACAGATTAGATTAAACATATTCTCTTTTACATAATGGTATTATATAACAATCTGGAAAACCTTGTTATAACCGTGGAATATTAAAAAATTTTTCTTTTTTTTAATTAACACATATTGCAAACGTTGCAAGACTTTGGTATGCTAGCGTTGTTAAGCGCTTAAATTTATTGGTAAGTTGAGGAGTGTGAGGAATTTTAACGACGAGTACCTAACTGTATCATAAATAACCTTACATTATGTAGTTGGGTAGGGTAATCATATCTTAAAAGGCACAAATTGAATATTATTAGGAATAAATTATTTTGATATAACCTATTGTAATTTAAATAAGGCGCTAGAATCTTTATTTTCTATGTAACAAATCAGAGATTATTTATTCGTTAAGGTATATATAGTTATATAACTAGGACAATTCACACAGCGCCATCTTGTTGCAGGTACTAAACAATTGATGGAAATATTGAAACAGATAATTTTTCTAAATACATACATAATACACATACCACAAACCAAGACCAATACAAACAATCATACTCCTAAATACGAATTTTATTTATTTGTATCGACGCCGCGACTATAGTATAAGGCGAAAGCAGTTTACCGTCTATTGTCGCGGTTCCGACTACAGGCGGTGTGGTAAACCGCTAAACTACAGAAGCCGTCATACTAAATATGAATTTTGTATTTACAGGTATGTTTTTTTGGAAGTTTAGCGAACGCGCTCAACGTTGCTGTGTTAACGCGACGGGACTTAGCTGCAGCGCCAATTAATAGACTTTTAAAATGGCTAGCAGTGGCTGACGTTTTTGTTATGCTAGAATACGTGCCGTTCGCTGTCTACAGATATCTGGTAAGCCATTACTATTCTGTTCTCATTTATCCGCAGAAGCGTTGGGAATTGTGAGGAATTAATTCATTATAAGTTTTGCCAACTACAAATAAATGCCCGTATTCAAAGGCATTTTTCACTGCAAAATAAATCAACAACAAAAATAAATATATATATTCTACAATAGCTAGAATATTTAGACGCGTTAAATCAAGATTATCAAATCTTAGTTGACGAAGCAGATCTAACTTTGTTGGACACAGTAGGTTAGAAATTCAAGTAACTTTTCATAACATTATCATAAGTTAGAGATGCGAAATAGTTTCTCAAACTATAAATAATATTTGAGGTTGAGATATTTGGAGTTCCGATATTATCGGTTTTTAACCTACTTCAATAAAAGGTAGTGAAATTTGTGTTACCGCAGGACGTTTTTCTACAGGTTTCCGATTTCTTTATTTGAAAACTGGTGTGTGTTGTCATATATATCACTAAGATCGGTTCCGTAGTTTTAAATTATACGTAATATTGCAATTACAATCAGTTTATTCATCTAAATTTATACGAATATACAAATTAATATTGAGTAACCGCGGTAGATAAACAGTAGTGTGAGTGGGCCGCAAACTAACTTCGTGTAGTTATACAGAATTGAGTAATGACTGACAATATTTATATACACATTCAAACACCATAACGCCTCTCACATCGATTCCCGGCCCATATCATATCAACATACCAGAGATAAAATAAACATCGCCTTAATGCCCGATAATGTTACTAATTGAGGAATATCTAATTTCCACTTCAGACCAACACATGCCAAAAAAGCTATGTCGGAAATATTTATGAGAAATTTTGAATAATTAACATGTAAATAAAATGTATAAATTTATAACTCGAAAATAATATTGTACCAAATAGCTATATATTTTTGTACTGCAAAAGAGAAACTTGATATTAAAGTCGTTAATTTGTACTTTAGTGCTTTTCGCCAATATAGATGTATAGATACAATAATAATCTTTTGATTTTTTAGATAAATTTGAAAAATTATTTGTCACAACAGACAGTTAAATATTTTAAGAGTATCGTCATAACTAAGCAGCATATGAAATGTTCTAATAAAAAAATATTGACATGTAGCCTAACTTAAGTTTTTTAGTAGTCTTTTTAGAAAATAATAGTTGCGACAAACAATTATAAAACTAATAGTCAAAATATAAATATTAGTCATTTACTTTTTAGTATAATACTAAAATAAGTTAAATGAAACATAATATTTTTAGAAAAATACTTTGTGATTTTGACTATTAGTTTTATAATTGTTTGTCGCCAAGTATTATTTTGTATAAAGACTACTGAAAAATCTTAAGTTAGGCTACATGTCAATTATTTTTTATTAGAACATTTCATAGACATAATGTATAGATATTTGAAACAAAATATTTTTAGAAAAATACTTGAAAATCTTTTCCGTGTTCTATTATAAAATTCACTAAACATATTTTTTCTTTCTAAATCGCTTTTTGCTATACCAGATACTGCCTGGACAGAGGGAAATGCCATATAAATGGGCCGCCTATCTCCTGTTTCACATGCACTTCGCTCAAATATTCCACACTGCATCCATTTGCCTGACTCTATCCCTCGCTGTGTGGAGATACGTCGCCATCAAGTAAGTAGTATTAGTTAGTAAATAAATAATAATTTTTATGTAGTTCCGAAAAGTATATAGACTAGTATTCATAGCGTTTGATTACGTAGACTAAAATTAACTCTTAATAGATTTAGACAAAATACTATTACTTTTATCAAGATTTTTTATCCGGCCAACCAGGCTTTTCACGAGTCCTCTTAACTTCTTCAATTTTGTATATAATAACATAATACACCGTTTTTGTCACTGTGGAATAATGCACGTAAATAACTTTATAGGTCAAAATGTGTAGTAAAAATATCTTTACCAAATAAACCTTTGAAACTTCAGATTGCTTGTCCTAGTTTAATTAAGATTTAAATCACATCATTTATTTTTTTGTTACCAGCCTGATCCCAAATAATCTGTGAAATATGACCGTTTCATAGCCCTTTCTAAATGACCACACTTTCTAAACGACCCACTTTCGTGATTCGTAATAAGATACTATAATATAACGATTTTTATCCCAATGTATCCTTTGACCATTTTCCAATCCGGAAAATGGATCAATTTATTTCATTAATTTAGTAACAATTTCATCTAAAATGCCTGCAATTTGACATTTCCCAATTCTTCGTCACATTACCAGACGTAATGACGTTATTTATTGATTAGCAATTTAATAATATTAATTCTAAGATATAAACCAATGTTATTCTAGCATTGCGCGACTAGATATTTCAGAAAGTGGTTTGCATATATACTTGACTTCACAAGTAGAATAGTAGTTTTCTGCTTATAGGGTTACAAATATTAGGTTCTAAAGTAGGAAAGTTCCAAGCAATTGCTGGTTATATTGAATAATTTTAAAATCAAAATATATCAATTCATATAGGTCTCTTAATCATACAGACTTTTATGATATGTCAAATCTACCGACAGTTCGGAGTGCTTTCGAACTAAGAAGAAATGATAAGATACAACGAAAACAATTTATAACATCATAATCATAAACCACACAAAAACATAGTACTAATCTATGACTGTAACATAATGTACATTTTATATACCTATTATCATTAAACATTTATTATCTTTTAGTGTTACTCGCACAAAATAGTTGATTTTTTGTAGATGTAATACCCAAAGGTTCATAAGCCAAGCTATAGACGATTAATTACACTAGTGACATATACTGACGCTTAATTTTCATTTCCATTTGTGGCAGAATATACCTAATAAGTTTCTCGCTCTATCACTAATTAAGTAAGAGCAGCCCATAAACTATATAAATGACAATATATACGGGGCGGGGCTTACTAATCTTCATTTCATTAAGTGCGACTAACATAAATCTATATGTGTATATAAATATGTTACTTGTAACAGGTAGGAAGTATGTTCATTATCGTTACATAAACTTACATGCCGAAAAATAAAATTAGAAAATAGTGACGAGGTAAAAATTATCTAGGTATTTATTGATAACGTTTCACTTAAAAATGGCTGGAAAATTAGTATAATTATTTTACATAATATAGTATTAAATATTATTTAACAACTAACTAAAGAAAACTGAATAAATAGGAGCGAAATAATAAATTTTACGAATATTCTTAATACACTACCTATAGATTCATTAGTTCATTTATTAATAGAATAATAGAGGTAGCGTTATTTAGATTATTTATTTGTATGATAATAGATGTTGATTTACAAATTTACACGCATACGAAATCGCTGGCAACACACATTCATATATGTAAACCCTAGATATAAAAGTATCATGGCCTAATGATTTTCTACTTCCACATAAACCCCAAGGTCCTAAGCTCGAATCAGAACGACACAATAATAAATTACGGGTGACATTTTGTTTTAATGGTTAACTACCAAATTGTAGATAAACCGATGACAAACCAAAGTCATCCGGTGGTAGGTAGACACGCCATTGACCATGCTGGGTTCAAATACGAGTAGTGACATGATAAGTACACAGTAGTATAGTGACCAGTAGGTCAACAGTTAGCAATGCATCTGCTACGGTATCGTCGTATACCATTATCTTAGGTAGGTCCTTTTCATCAATGTCAAAAAAACGTGAGGACTTTATGATATGAATAAGTATAATAAAATTACAGTTTTGTTACAGATTTATCATTTTTATGTATTTACGTTAGAGTATATGTCTTACTAAATACACACTAATTTATTTAACTTCATGCACTTTTTAAAAATCTAATGAGTTCAACGAATAATTCAAATCCTTGTGTGTTTATGCTAAAATCACGAGATGTCCGCACGGGCCTTCAGTATTACCACAAAGGATTACATATGCAAAGTGAAAACTTTTAGGCCAGTGCTCACCCTGGAAAGTTCTGGAAAGTGGTTCTAGGAAATGCATTGAAGCATGATTACTATGATTAATACGACTTTGATTATAATTGTAGTATTTTAAACCTTAGTTTTTTTCTGATAATCTATTTAAAGTGTATTGTATTTTGAGGGCAGGCAGGCTTAATACAATTAATATCCTCCACCAGATAACATATTGATGTGGCCCGAAGACAGGTAAATATAGGAAATAAATTATATAATATGTGCATACATACATGATAAACAAGCAGTGGTTTTAGACAAAGGTTAGCTGAAATTGCATCAAATTCACAACACAGATTTATATTTGTAAAATGTTATTTGAGTTATTCTTTTACAATAATATCTTCTCTGCTATGTTATAGAGTATATTATAAATTTATATTTTGTCTAATATCGTTTTCAAGAAATAATTAAGGGAATCCAATAATTAAAATTTTACAGAGAAAATATATATGGAAATATTCACAAAGATGCGTGGTCGTTTAATTATAATATATACGTACATTGTCGAGACTTGAAATATAATTGTCGGTCAAGTAACATTTATAGTATAGGAGGACAAGGCGAAACCGTTTACTTTTCCTTCCATTTACGTGAAAATTATAAATAAACATTAGGCAGGCGATATACATAATTAATTGTCGTGTACCCACTTATAAACACTCGTATCTAATTTATGTAGTACGTATTCCTTAAATTAAAAATATATTTTCTAATATTTTAATTCATATTCTGAAAAAGAAAAATGTAATCATTAATACAAATGTTTGTTCTGTTGAAATTCGAATCTGTCGAACTATCAAGTTATTGTGGGTATGGTACAGAGGTACCACAGACAACACAGAGGTGTTACCTATATCAGTTATCAAACACTTAGCTTTGTAAGATGTGTTTTTTTTGCAAAATTTTCAAGGTACAGAGGTATCTTTTGCTTCTGAAATGGCAATAGTGGCGCTGTTCTTGTTATAGACGACGGAGACCATTTACCATCAGATGTACCGTCAGCTTTTTAGAAAATCCAGTTAAATAAAAAAGTCATGTGCCTGTGAGTATCCTAAGCCATCACTAAGCCGAACTTCTCATCTAATTGAACGTTCACTCACGCGAACGTAAGCACAGCGTTGGTTTCTCCATATTTTTTTACTCAAATAAACATAGAACATACCCGCAAAATCTTGGTTAGTTTCAAATGTGTACTATTCCGTAACAGGATGTGTGTATAAATAAACAAATAGTAATATCATTCTACTTCTTTGTTTTATTGGATAAATATGGCAGATATTTACTTGGAATTCTACACACAAACATAACATAACAATTTTATATTTTAACTTCTATCCATTTTAGAATTTGTAGTACAGACAGCTTTATAGATTTCTGCACAATAATTAAATTTAACACAATTTGATGTATGCGTATAAACTAGTTATTATAATGTTGTATTTAAGTGTGTATATATAAACTTGTAGAACATAATGATTTTTATTATTTTTTCATATTAGACATTCTTGTACTTTAAAGATATAGGTGTAGGCTACCAACCTCCACATAGGATACCACATACGATTTCAAATCACATCAAAAACGGCTATTGCTAACAGTCAATTACGGCGATTCAATTATGTATTTCAGAGGGTTTAGAAGTGACGTGAAATTAATATATTCAGAAACATTGAGACGTATGTTTCTTATAAGAGATATATTAAAGCTTTGAGTAAAATTATATCATACTTAGCAGCTTTCCCATTGTTATTTTGTAATTTATCTTATATAATATATACCTATTTTGTACCGTCATCTTGGATGTAGAACAAGTCATTAAATACAAACCGCAAAGTAACATACAGTTAATTATTAGGGATTGTTTCTACACACTAATAGTTGATTAATAACAAAAGTAGATTTGAGCTTTAGAGCTTATTTGCAAAGAATAAGAGCTGAGTTTCTTGTCAGATCTTCTCACCTCGAAAGCACTCCGAACTAACGGTAGATTTGACACAAGAGTCTGTAAACTAGATTTAGTTGGATAAAGATATTTTGACATTCATTTTTGATTGACCGGTAAGTGACACCGTCATAAAAAATTGGCCACATTACTAGCAATAACCCTATAATAATAATAATAACCCTGGACAATTCACACAACGCTATCTAGATCCAAGCTAACTAAGGCTTGAATTATAGGCACTAGATAACTGATACAAATACGTAGATTTTTTTTCGTATACCCAGACCGATACAAACAATCATATTCATGAATACAAATGTCTGTGCCATGCGAGGAATCGAACCCGTAACCATCGGAATAAAAGAGCAGTCCATTACCGCTAGACCACCGAGGCCCTCAAAAAAGCAATTTATAAATGGTATTCTTTTTTTTGTATGGGTGATATTAGTGGAAATAATAGAAAATACTTGCACCTGTGGAAAGTAATAAAATAGACGTGAGGTCTATTTACTTCGCCCATCCAGATAATTTCACCAGGAATTAACCAAGTTAGTTTCTAGAGATGACCGCCTGGAGGTTGACCTTGCCTGTAGTGTGGTCATTAGTCCTATTACTTTTCAATTCTCTTCTTACCCTAGTTTCATTTAATTTTTACTTCTTTAGTGTACCTACAACCATATACTCGTAACTTAATAAATGTTCGCAATTTTCGTAATAAGTCTGCCATGACGGGCGTATATCTGATGAATTTATATTTTACGTTGATTAACACACAAACTAGTAACTACTAACGTTTATTACAAAACTAGCCGTTTACCGCAACTTCACCTAACTATAGCTATAGTTAACTAAAAAATTAATTATTAGAGCAGGCTTTATAGGTCATTGCAAATGACACATTTTTTCGTCCAGTTATAGCATAAATATCCAAAAATGCTGATATTAATTTATAACGAATTTGTTACTTACTTGTACTAGGTATAACTGATAGTGCCGTCAGATTTTATTACATTACCTGATGTTTCCAAAAGGTATAACACACTAAAAGCCAAATAAAATACTCATGAAACCAAACACATTCAACTGCGAAATAAAGTGGAAAAAAGAAAATAAATTTGAACGTGACCGCACACTTGGTATGAAGGTTTCAAAATTTATATTCATTTCCCTAATTTATTTCTTAGAAAAAGTTTACCTTCATGGCCATATGTATCAACTTACCTAGCTCTATGTAAGTATGTATATTTTAACGCATTTATTATCTTTTCAGATACTCAGACAGAAACCATATATTGTGTACGGAGCGACGCTGTAGCACAGCAATATTGAGTAGCTTCATTATACCTCCTATACTTTGCATTCCCACATTTATGGTAAGTAAAGTACTCCACTTTAAATTATCAATATTTTGCACGATAAATGTAATACATACATCGAGACTAGTATTATAAATACGAAAGTGTATATATCTGTATGTCCATTTGTTACTTATTCACAACTAAAGGACTGTAGTACGCATATTTCATCACAAGGACTGACATATGTTACCTTTTATCTCAAAAGATAAACAAAGTTACGGGTAACAATTAGTTATACAAATAAGTCTGGCGGCGCGTGGAAATCTACATATGTGTAGATTTCAGCCTTTTTTTTATTTCTCTCTCCAATCGTAATTGACTTTGTATCGACGAGAATTCGGTAAAATAAAAACATACGATAAGTAAAAACGAGTACAAATGACATCACATAATATATATAGATGTACTATCACCAAAGGTAGGTTTTCAATGTCATTTTCATCTCAAATAATATTATTACTACTGTTAGTGAAATTAGCGGTCAGCAAAATATGTCAATTTTATTTCTATACTCTTCTTTTGAAGCTCATAACCAGTACACAAAAAATACCGTGTTTTAATATTTCATATAAGATATACGTATCAAAGTTAAATTTTCTCTAAAATATACCGAAATTAAGAGTATAATTTAGGGATTACCTATATTATTGAACAAACACTATCAATGCTACCCAAGAAATCAACATTAGTAATCTCATACTTGTTTGCAGTCAGCAAACAAATATTAATGTTAAAATAAATATTACCAAATATATAGATACTATATCCTTTTTACTTGACTGAATATTGAGAACGGCCTATTTATTACCTTCTAAATAATTTAAAATCTCTAGATACGTAGATCAGTAATGAGAACATTGATCTATCTGCACTCCTGGGACTGCAGACTAAGTAGGTACTTAACGTTCGGTCGAAATACGGTCGACAGATTCCAGCAACATATAAGTAAACAACCTGGGAAATAATATTAGAAGGTAAATAAATACGAGTATATATATATTTATATAATTATCTAATATATACATAATGCTATTCTAAAATATTACAGTAACAAGGTAGTACAGTGTTACAAAGTAATATCTAGTTAAAGGATGCTTTAAATAAAACATTTCTTCCTTGGGATAGTTTGGAGTCGGAATTAGATGAAAATCAGTATTACAGAGCTCAAAAGTCTTTCCGGGTTCTTGTATATAATTATTAGATATACACTCTTTCAAAATAATTTTATATTTTTTATTTTATTACCATAAAATTACGAATAGTTAAGACGTTTCCACGAGAAAACTTACCGACACATTTGGCACTTTTCCATTAGCGACATTGCTAATATAATGCTTCTTCTTCTAGAAACCTTTTTGTTTTACTGCGAGAAAATCTTCAAAGAACTTCATTTCACTTCACTTGCTTTAGTTGCATGATCAAATACTGAGAAATTCGTAGACACTGAAACCCGTTCGTTTTTTTTTTCTAGACAAAAGTGCCTATACTAAACTATTAGAAGTGGATAATACGATTTCTTCTTTCAATTCCAAGTTGTATCTGAGATCAGTAATTCAACATTGATCTTTGATCACCCAGAGAACATACGTGGTACTTCTACTGAACCGGTTTTTGCAATTTTTTACAACTTAACAAATTATTGTCTTATATGATAACTGTCATGATGTTTTATTAATTTTAATGATCTTTATAAGTTTCAATTATTATTATTTCTCTATAATATTTCATTTTGACTAAACACATTTATATTTCACTTCAATAATGTCTTAAATACGGCAATAGTTTACTTGTTTCCAACGTTTCGGATGTCTGCGTTGGAGGTAGACCCTCTATAACGTGCAGTAATACTGGAATTCTAACAAAGAGATGTTTCAACTTGTATGTTTACAAATTATTAAATAAAATTTCAGAAAATAGTTTACCATGATATTTATTTTGTTTTCCTGATTAATGATTAATAATTATATCAGTTACGTATTAGGGCACTGTAATTTATTTGGATAGGTATTCACTCTGGAATTCTGTGGGTATCTATCTCGAAGTATGGTCTCTGTATATACATTTTGCCTTTAAATACATGAAACGGATGTTTGTACTTGTATCACATGCATTAATATGTTTATTTAATGTACGTTACTCAGTCGTACTTCATATATACTATTTGATATTCGAAATACGCAATTTGTGCGAAAATTCTAATACAAAAATAGCCTAAAATAAAGGACTTATTGATACAGCGTTAAATCAAACTCTAACACACATTTAAGAACAACAATTGGGTAAATGGGGCATGTTTTACTTCGTTCCTAATAAATTTTATTATCGTCTCGGTAACCGATGGTTTGTTATTTTACGAGAGGGCCTAATAGCTCCGGATATTTGATTTCCTGTAGATACATGTTTGGAAAATATAACAATATAGTAAATAAACGAAACAATCATTCCCGCACATGTACTTTCTTCCTTTAGCCTTGTGTCCTTCAAGCGTAGCGTGGAAAAACACTCTCCAAGTTGGCACAATTCATTGTCCGGACTGTTCCAACTCCGAAAGTGTTTTTGCATAGAGAGCAGAACTTGCTATATACTATACATTTGGTCAAATTCATGGTTCATCTTAAGAGTAATGTAGCTACTCTTCTCTCATATGACTCTTACATTTCGAAATGTATTTAGTTTTATTTCATTATAATTGGAGAAAATGAATATATTCAATATTTAAATTCAATATTATCAACAAATTCACGTTTAACGATTTCATTCAATATTTACTACTAATTGTTTTTAGCGAATTTACGTAGATTCGCATATGGTACGCTATTTGCATATGTAAACTACTACTCCGGTAATCTCATTTTCCAATGTAAATTGTGTATCACAATCGACTAGTCGAGTATGAAGGTTATAAAATACTGATTATTTAGTACTCTTTGTGATAGTTTCGATAAAATTTGAAAGGCTTACAAAAACCACGTGAAAATCTAATCAATTAATGTTCTTGGCTTAGTAATAAAATAATATTTTTAAGAGAAATATTCTTTCTGACATTTTACAAAGAAAGATACTAATTAATATGGACTGTTGTATTGAATCGAAGAAAAGTCTCTCAAAGAGTAATGACTCCAACCCTTTTCGAAGTTTGTAGAATCGTCCATTCTAGCAATATTCAATAGATACCTTCACAATTATTAAATAATCTTTCCCCAGGTAACATTTAATTTAGTATTCCAACTTTACGTTTGGAAGAGCAAATAATTCAACTCAGATTTTGTATTTTTAACGTAGGTATACTGAATATTAATTAGGATTGTCTTCCACAGGTGTTCGACATTCACACGACTGTAGTATTAGAGCCTACTGGCCCAATGATATTGTACTATGTAGATTCAGACCACGAAGGTCAACTTTATCAGATCAATTTCTGGGTGCATGCTGTTCTAATCAAGCTACTGCCCTGCTGCATTTTAACTGTCATCAGCTTATGGTTAATACGTGAAGTATATAGTGCCAATCAGCATCAGAAGAAGGTTCGTGTATACAACGCGTGTCCTACAAATAATAAGACTGTCAAACGTCAATGCAAAGCTGATAGAAGAACGAATAGAACTACTAAGATGTTAGTGGCAGTACTGCTACTCTTTCTTGTGACGGAGTTACCTCAAGGTATTCTTGGGTTGCTCAGTGGGTTGCTTGGCCGTTGTTTCTTCAAAAATTGCTACAATTTGTTCGGGGAGTTGATGGATGCACTAGCACTCTTGAATGGTGCTATTAACTTTGTTTTGTATTGCTCGATGTCTCGTCAGTTCCGAATGACGTTTGGTCAGATGATGTGGCGGGCACATTTACACAAGTGGCCACTGCCGACGGCTTCACATTCCGATGGACAGAACACGTAAGTTATAATATTAACTTTTTATCTACGTTCGGTATCTACACAATTATTAAAAAGTAACAGACTATATACACAAGTCTCTATAAACCAGAGAATATTTTCTTCAGTGACACGAAGGGTTAAAGAATTCGTTTCAAATAGATAGAAAATTGGATTTTATTGTATTCCGAAATCTCGATAAGGCGAGACTTTAAGAGTTTTATTCACATTCCTGGTACAAATTATACGCAATGGGATAGATAATTGAATTAAATTTAGAGAAAAGAATTAATCTTTCTACAAATAATCTTTATGTTAAAATAAAGATTAATTTTTGAGCAGTATTTATTGAATTGCGTCAGCAGTCCAACGGCTTAATACATCGCCTTACTTCCATTGGCCGCGGGTTCGATTGTACAATGCAAACTTTTGTTTTCATGTATATGATTGTTTGTAATGGTCTGGATGATGTCTATGTACAGTTACAGAAAAATGTATTTAACTAATTATATCGGTCGTTAAATACCCATAACATAAGCTTTGCTTAAGTAGTGACTAGATGGCAAGTTATAAAACCTTTCTGGATTATAATGTTTTGTTTATAGAAACTACTAAACAGGGCAAAATTACAAAAAAATATTAACACATATCTTTACTCTGTACACAAACTTCAGTATAATAACCGCCTACCGACTTCAAAAAGTCATCAAATTTCATAACAAAATAAATGTTTTGCACTAGAAGATTGAATAACAGTTCATTTGCCATAAATCAATCGATATTCAGATAAATTTGATATCTAATCTAATGTCATGTTCCTTATTAAACAGTCTATTATTTTAATTACAGGGCCAAGACTTCGGTTCCGTGAGGAAGGTTCGTACAAGAGAAACGAGCGAGTGTTTTGCAGCAGTTCTTGTAAATACCATTAATTATAGACTACGGTGTATAGCACTTGTTATATTTATATAATGATTGAAGTTGAACAAAGTCATTAAATATTAATATTGTCTTATATAACAGATTAAATAACAGGTACAGGTTCTACCCACGAGCCCAAAACTAGATGTAGATGCTCATCATTGTTCAAACCAAAGGATCATATGAAAACAAAACTTACAATATATAATACTTTAGAATACCTAATTGTTTACGTAATACCTACCATTGTTAGTAGATATAACATTACTGAATTTCGAAATAGTTATATTTAAATACAATTATTGCGTTTCAATACAATGTTGTTTCTACTTAGATATAAAAATAGTATATTTTATTCCACAAAAAAAATAACTGTTTAAACAAAACGGAATAAATTTATAAAGGCTAATAAGATTCACAAGGCACATAAAGACCATCTCCTGGTGATATTTAATAGCTTATTAATTTTTAAATTACTAGCGTATGTATTTACTAAACAAGTTGACAGTTGAATGTTACAGTTTTGATAATTTACTATAATTGTATATTGTAATACTGTCGCCATGTTGTCATGTAGTACCTACCTACTTCTATGATGAAGATGAGTCTGCAGACACCTCATGAAAATGCATGAAACCGTTACACGTCGTGCCCTATATCTTTTACATATACAGGTAGGTAACAATATTAGCTTTCATAAAATATTATAATTTGTTGTTGCACAATTTTCCACCCAACTTTAAAACTTCAACATAGGATCTGTTTGAAAGCAGAATTTGTGTTTTAATGCAGAATTCATATTTTCGTCCAACTCAATGTTTGATTTTCTGAACTTTTAAAACATGAAGTCTTTTTATCTGTCTCTTTAAGACTTCTTCTTTTACTCTATAAGATTTATGTCTACTTTCAAGGCTGTTTTGTAGAACTCATTTACAAGTACCGTTACTTACGTTGAAACAGTTGATCAACACCAGTGAAGCTGCAGTTAAATCAAAAGAGCGAATTCTTATAATACTTCACTGTACTCTCAACTTTTATTAAGTATGAAATATTTTTCTTACTTACAGTTACGGGCATTAAAATAGAAATGATTTAGAAACACGTAGAAGTGATATTGATTTTAAAAACAATTTTAAAAGTGTCTCTATTATTCTTTGTGCTTATAGTCTACCTAAACCTTAAAACGGTTCCCCGTGTTGTGTTGTAAATGTAAGAAATAAGTAGATGTTTGGATTACTATTTCTGCTAACCCTAATGAGGTCCAGGATTGTTTGAGATTTGATGATGCTTTTATGTGTTTTTATTTATGATTTTCAATTGTAATTCTTTTAGTTGTTTTTATATTTCAAAGCTTAGTACGCGTTAACATTGACCTATCTAAACATGAATCATTTATAGCTATTCAAAGTATTTACGATTTTCCACCGGTCGATTACCCTGCAATAGTGACGATTATATAAATAAAATATACATTTTCAATTATTACTAGTTGTTCAAATAGTATGATTTAATAGTTTTTAAACAACTTAAATTATACTTAGACGTAATTACAATTTCATTACTAAGAATCTTAACTGTATTAATTAGACAAACTTGTTTTACTAATTACCTATCTTTAAAGTAAATTTAGATAAACGTCTAATAATGTCTGCTCTTTTTGAAAAACATTTGCTTTCATAAATTATTTTGCCGTAAAATATTGCTGTTTGCCATTAAGATTGTTTACAATCCATTTTATAATTTTACATTACATTATGTATCTTATGGAAAGAAATGTCTTTGATTGGTTTTGTTTATGATTTTTGCAGCCAGCACACCTACAGATTAAAGTAAATTCATTGTTTCAAATTACCTTTTAACTCTTCATAATAGATTATTTTAAAATGAAAGTCTCTTTAGGTATTCGTTTCGCAATGAGACTGGTTTTCATTTGGTATATCAATCACCAATAAGGATTGTTCCTAATAAGTTCGCTATAGCTTTCTGTCAGAGAAACCAGAAAAACTGTAATAATCAAGATATTTTCTAGTTATAAGAATGTAATATAACAAATCTATATGTAATTTATATGGTAATAAGGAAATAAAATTTAAGAAATTGATTACATAATTAGTTAAATACCTACTTATAATAATAATATAATTAATCTATTCAATCAAATATTTTCTTGTTATATATTATATTATACTATATTCATTGTATTATTATTAAGTCTACTTTCATTTTTTTCGCCATATAGTATTGAAAATGTACGATACTGACTTTTAATGAAGTTTCATTAAAAGTCAGAACATTATCTGGATATTTTACTGGAAACGTAAGTAACAAGTAAATCTATATATATATTAACAAAATACTGCTTATTGATCGTGAATCGTGAAATTTAGAAGACCTATAAATTGTCCCAAAAATATTGTTTTGATACAATAATAATTAAACGTTCACAATAAATTATTTCCATTTAAAGCCGTGTTAAATCTAGCTTTACATAAGTATTAAACAGTAAAAAATATCTTATACTATGATAAATATATGTACTACAGTAATTAAAACTATGATTCAGTATTCATTCTGTCCGATATAATGTTATAATATAATTTTAAAAGTTATATTCTGCCCTAGTTTTTTTAAGACTGTTTAAATCAATTGTTACAAATTATTATAATTGCTTAATACATATATAATAATTCTCGAGTGTAAGAAGCACTTGTATAAGATGATGACTTAGGCTTTAAAGCCGGCTACCGCGAGTATGACTGTGTTTGCTCTTTTAGAATGCATTAACACTCGCCTTCACCACTTGCAGCTTCCTCCCAGGCCCAACTAAGACCGGGATGAACCTATTTCTAATACAATTCACTTTATCCAAAACACAATCGGCACGCTCTGCACTCGTCGACTGAATGCCGCGGCTTTATTCAACTACCGACCTCCGTATTTATAGACCAAAGTCAGTGTAGTATCTATAAATACTAGATGGCGCTATTTACAATATTCGTAATAATCCTTACATTGGGTACTTCATTAGTACTAAAAAAAACTACCTTCTTTTAATATATTTTTAAAATGTCGGATTTTTTCTACAATAATGATGTGAATTCTAACAGGAGAGTGTTCTAACTAACGAGTGTTATCGACTATGAAACTATGTTCAAACATTATTTAATTAGTTAATCAAAATAACAAAACCATGTATTTAATTTATTGTTAATAATATATAATTTAACATACATCATTAAGTAGATATCTTTATTAAACTAATTAATCAATATTTGAGTTAAATTAATGATTTGAGTTAAATTATATATTAATAAAAGTAAATTAATAATTATTTTAATGATATTTTAATTCTAGTCACTATATATATAAGATGCAATTAAAGAAAATATTTAACATAATACCTAACTTTTAGCTAAGTTGCCTGCAAGAAAATTTTATAATTATTTTGTTAGTAGCGAGGGTTATTATAAATATCGAGAAATTATTTAATCTTCTCTATTAATATAATCCGTCTAGACTTTATCGGGTACATAATAAAGCTATTTTTCTTGTACCTAAACTATCTTAATTTCTAATAAACGGATAATTAAAGCAGTAAGACTGCTTCTTTAAAAACTTTGCAAATCCATCAGGAATATCATGGGCATTAAAATAAATATTGTACATATCTTTTTTTTTATAAATAAAGTTTGTATTTAAAAATTGAATTATGTAAATTGTTTCATTGAATTATTTTTAGAAATCAACCCACGACGATAATAAGCAACATGCTGCAAATAACATTGAAAAACTTTAAAATAAACTAACACCAGGTATCGTTCGAGGTAAGTATATCTTTGTTGATTGTGTACTGTATAAAGACACAACTACATAAAGGCCTACTCAGTAACAACTACGAAGACCACGTGACTATTTGCAAACTGTGTTATATCTCATTTACACTTTTCCATTAAGGAGGTAGCTAATAGAATCTGACTTTGACTTTCACCTCGGAACTACATTAAAGAATCGCGGTCAAAGTCCACTTTCACTTTAGAGAAAATAATTGAAACAAGTTTTTAACACACTTAATAGTTCATATTAGTTACAAAATTGCAAGTAGTTTTTTTTTTGTGTATTATCTACATACACAAAAAATAGTTGTCTTTGATAAATACCTAACAAGCTATGATTTCTTAATGTATCTTTTAATTAAAAAGATAAATTATTGTTAATAGGTAACGAAAACAGAAATCTCTGATAACTATTATACATTTTTATAGAACAATGTACATAATTAACAAATATTTCAGGTGGTTTTTGGTGCATAAAATTGTAAAATAATTATTTTTGGATAATAAAATTGTAAGGTCAAGTTTTTGTTGGGACTAATGGCCTTTCGAAAATTCATTTTACAATAACGTAACTACGCGGATTATCTATTGAAAGCTCTTGATAGGTTGTCATGGTAATATAGCTCTTCAGTTCTACGATTAAAACCATGTTGCTAGGCAAAATATTCATAATCGATTCGAGATCGGTAATTTGATATACTAGCAGGGATACACTTAAATATACGGTTTATTTCTGCATAATGAGACTAGTTCTATAAGGGTTTAATTAACTGACTGACATCCTAACTTTATAGATACGAGAGTTAATTAGTTTGTGACGAATTCACGTCTAAAGGCGTAACCAATCATTATACATTTTGGCGCACACGTGGCACTTTAGATAGTGTTTATTATTTAACTGATATTGCATAAAAGCTGGTGGTTCACCTGATGATAAATGGCAACTATAAAATATATATTATAGATGAACAACACTACAGACATCAAATCATCATGCTTCTTTATCTTGTAAAACTATAGTGGAATGTATGGGCATTTTTCCGTTGTCAATACCATTAAGACAAAGGAAAAATGTCCATTATGTGTATGGATACACGCTGACATAATTATGCGACTGATAGTAACAATTAACAATTAATACTAATTAACAAGAACAAAAACATCTGACATACGACAGAGTGGCTTTCGGATACAAAGAGTTGATATTATTTTAGAAATGACATTTTTACAGTTGTAAATAATCTTAGGCAGTAATTATCAATCAGTATGTCTAACGTAGTGTATATTATAATTATCTCATGTCCCGTTTCATGCGTTTAAAGACAGAAGATCTTAAAGTATCCGCCTATTGTTTGGAGGAAATTATGGGATAATTATATTTAAGTTGTTATTGAGTCGACAAATGTGCAAGACATGAAAAAGACAAATATTTTCATTAAGTAGTAGTAGTATTTAGTATTAGTAATAGTAATAGTATTAGTTAGTA